TCTTCCACCCCACAGGCTCTCCCCAATCCAGCTCTGCCAAGGCACCATCCCCAAAGCTGCAGTGTTTCTTTTCTCCCAGACCAGTTCTTGTGGTTTTCAGTCATGTTCATGGCACCACCTGCTACGCCAGGGATACTTCCGTCTTGAGCAGAGAATTACAGTCATACTAAAGCATGGTTTGATGTGGACAAAAGCAAGCTAGAAAAGCATTCAGAAAACAGAGTTCCTTCAGCATGTGATTAAGGATTTGAATCAAGGTCTCCTGGAGCGAGGGACCAAACTACCAAGCTTCCCTGGGGGGAGCTCTACATCCCTTCCCACTTCAAGAAGCGCTCCTCAGACAAGCAGAAGTTCTGGTGCAGGACTCTAGCTTGAGAATGTCTCTTAGAGATGGTTTCTGGCCACTCCGCAGTCTAACCCTGCAGGTAGGCAAGCTCACACCTGCCCAGTCACTTTGCCTGAGAGGTCACCTTCATGAAAACTCGATTAAGACACAAGCCTCAGGTGAGATAAGCACCTTGACATGAAAGGTGTGTCAGCTGAGCAGCTCTGGAGCTGCAGCAGACTTAATAACAACCATAGCAGGGGAACTGGTGGCGTCATGGGGTAGCAGAGGTAAGGGGAGGAGGCTATTCACATCCTAAAAGTAAAGCCAAGGAAGAACATTCCTCAGCTTGAGTCTGCAGGCCCAGGAGCTGACTGCGGAGGAAACGAGAAGACAAGCTCTCTGAGGCCTGCATCAGATGGCTGAGGTGCTTTGTAGCACATTCTTGTTTGTTCGTTCCCTGCTGCTTCTGATCCAACCTGGCCAGCCTGGGAATCTCATCCCCAAGATCCTCTGCCCTGCCCCTGGTCCTCCCTGTGCCCCTGCTCCCTTCGCTGGGACAGAAAGCATCTCTGGAATGTCTGCTGCGGAGTGCGGGCTCTTAAGAGCATCTCATTGCCTGAAACTTTTATTCAACAGGGGCTGTTACCAAAAGCCAGCTTAGGTGATTAATTAAAAGCTAATACCTCTTTCTAGTCACGAGCTCCTAACAACTTTAACAATGCCCCTCCTCCCCCTCCCATCTGAGGATTAAGAGGGACCATGGATCCATAAAGCTGAGACCCACAAAGCTTCACACCCACCAACCTCCACACAAGACAACCACTCACCTCCTAGCCCCAATAAAATGGAAACAGCACAGGTGACACTGGCCATCACCCGTGTGCAGCCATTGCCATGAAAGAGAAGTGCCAACCCTCACAGGTCATCCTGCCACCCACAGGCCTCTCCAAGAGCCCAGGCTCAATAATCCTCATTCCAGAGTCCCCTGAAGCCTGTAACCCTAATGGCACTGTCAAAAGCTTTTCCCAGAGAGTCTCCAAAATTAATTGGGTCAAATTCCACCTTTAGTAAGAACCTGGAGTAACTCTGCCTGTGTTAGAGGAGTTACTCCAGATTTACCCCAATTCAAGATACTGAGTAGCTTCCTCTGCCTTCCAGCTGGGCTGAGTGCTCACACCCTGAGTGCCTACTGAAGTGTGTCACACTGGCAGCTCACGTGGAACAGCCCCTGTGCTCTAAATTCAGACCCTTGCCTACTGCACCACAACTTTTTCATGGAGGTGAGCCTTCAGAGCAGACTACAGCTCATCTCAATATGCACAGAAAAAAAGACTACACACTCTTCCCTGACACCCTCCTGTTTCAGAATCCCATCCAGAAACAGGTCAGGAAACTACCAGGCTCCTGGCCCTAGTAAGCCCCTACCAAGCTCTGGTTTTCCTCTGTCCCAGGTAGCAAAACCATCCCTGGAATGACTGCCCACTCATTTCCACTAACTTAACTCCACATCTCGTCCCAAAGCCCCCTCCCCCCAACTCCACTCACCACTCTCTGCAAAGTCCCTGCTTCCCTATCAGAGTCCCCCTAAAAGTCCTATCCTATCTCTCTCCCTCAATCTGCTTTCCAAACTCTCCCTCTCCTGAGGGGTCATGGAGGAAGTGTAGGGAGTCATGAAGGTAAATCTTTTTTGAGAAGAACAAGATGACATTACCCCGGGGACCTTCCCTGTGAAAGGAGTTGGGAGCTGGGAAAGCAGAGGCCCCCGTACGTGTGAGAATGTCAGGAATCCCAATGTTTGGACTGGTTTTCTCTGCCTTCCCCAAACTCCCAAACAGGATCAGTGTCCAAATGAAGCTGCCAGAGCTGCTCCCCCTTCCTGTGTGGTTGGGATTGGCAGTTTGTCTGCTCCCACGTCCTACACCAACCACCCCAGACACCCACCAGCGCCAACCACCCTTCTAGCTCCTGTGCCAGCCCCAACCCTGCAGCACGTTCACAGGCTCAGCACATAGAGGAGGTCCAGGAAGCCCTGCTTCCTCCTCAGCTCTCCGTGTCTGCACGCATGGGGCTCCAGTAGATGAGCAAAACGGTGCTATGCAGCTCTCTGAAAGAGTTAACAGAGCCCCGCCCCTTCGAGTCACTGTATTTACAGGCCTTAGAGATTAAAACCAGAATTTACCACGAGTGATAGACTGATAAGTTTATGGTATTTCTATTTATAACAATCCCTCCCCCATCCACACTTGCTCTGCTGCCTGTCTTCTAATCACCCATAATCCTCCCTGGGTCACCAGGGGGGTGGGAGGGTTAGGGGGAGCGACTGACAGAGAACGGCATCCT